AACTCGCTTTGCGAACACACACACACACGCACACACACACAGACAGCCTCTCGACCATATGCGTTTTTGTTGGCTGTAGCAGCGCCATAGCGCTGCTATAGCGCTGCACAGCAAAAACGCATAAAAAACTACGGTTTTGGAATTCCGCTTGATTTTGACTGTCATTGAAGTAAAATTCAAGCAGTAACGCACCACATTTGCCGGAGCAGCCATGCATTTTTGCGCAAATCTTGAAGCAGCCAGAGTTAAAAGCATGAATAGTTGTTGCTTTATGGTTTGACACGCGCACTCATGTTAGCTGCCTTTTGGCCTTTTCTTGCACGAAAAGCGGGGCGGAAGGGGGAAGGAAGGATGTTGGCTTGAAAGGTCGTTTTACACTATGGGGTGGCGTGAGATTTTTACCTTCGTGGCCGTAAATTTTTTGTGAAGGAAAAAAAAGTTTTCGGTGACTGACTGTTCACTGAAAATGCAAAACGGACATAAATAGGTTTCTGAGAAAAAAGGATGACGAAGGCAGAGTTGTAAAATTGCTCGTCAAAATTTAAATTGCAAAGATGTATTTAAGAATTGAATTTGTAATCTTTAGATCGCACATGGACAGAGAACATCCTCACAAAATTTCAATTTCCTAATCCACTCAGTTCCTGAGCTCGCAATCTTCTCGCAAAAACTTTCGTGTGCCCGCACTTGAAGCTCAAACATGCGTAAAAATTGGTATGACTTTCCTTGGGCCGTACTTGGCCAGGGAACAAGCAGGAAAAATTTCAGCATCTAGGCTTCTTGATTGTCGAGTTGAAATACCCTGGTAGACACATGTACATACACATTAACAAACACTTGCATATGCATACATACAAAAACACACACGATGGATCATCACAATATACGTTTTTGCATGTATACAAATTGCAAAAACGCGTATTGGCAAGAGGCGCTCTGGTATGTTGGCACTTTTCGTCACCCACTTTGAACTCGGAAACTAGAAAAGCTAGAAGGCTGAAACTTCTGGAATATGTCCCCACCACTTGTGCAACCCTCCCTTTTTATGCGTTTTTGCTGTGCAGCGCTATAGCAGCGCTATAGCGCTGCTACAGCCAG